CCACAAGCTGGTGGCACTCACCTGGATGTGGCAGCAGCGCCCCTGCCAGGAGGTGACAGCGAGGACGGATCCGCTGCCCAGGAGGCTGCAGGGGACGGGGCGGGTGATGAATGTCCCGGCAGAGCCGCTGCCACCCCCAGGTGCCAGCCCAGGGCGGGGGACAGGGACAGGACCCACCTGAGCAGCGCGGCCGGGAGGGTGACACCCGTCAGCACCAGGACCTGCGGGAGGCACGGAGGGAGCGGAGCTCAGGGAGCAGCCCCCAGGGAATGGGATGAGGTGGGAGCAGCTCCCAGGGAATGGGATGAGGTGGGGACAGCCCCCAGGGAATGGGATGAGGTGGGAACAGCCCCCAGGGAATGGGATGAGGTGGGAACAGCCCCCAGGGAATGGGATGAGGTGGAGCTCAGGGAGCAGCCCCCAGGGAATGGGATGAGGTGGAGCTCAGGGAGCAGCCCCCAGGGAATGGGATGAGGTGGAGCTCAGGGAGCAGCCCCCAGGGAATGGGATGAGGTGGGAACAGCCCCCAGGGAATGGGATGAGGTGGGGACAACCCCCAGGGAATGGGATGAGGTGGGAGCAGCCCCCAGGGAATGGGATGAGGTGGAGCTCAGGGAGCAGCCCCCAGGGAATCGTCGTAGAAAGCCTTGAGCCCCCCGGGGCTCTGCAAGGAGAGGCTCCGGGCCAGCACCTCCCGTCGGAAGTTCTCCCTCATCCAGCCGTAGACCAGACTGTGCAGGAAGCCCTGCAGGGACACGCTCAGGGCCTGGGGGACACAGGGACAGAGGGTCAGGGCTCCCGGTCCCTGCAGGCACAGCCCAGGCAGGGTGGCACAGGACACGGGGGGACTTTCCTCTTGGTGTGGCCAATTCAAGCACATCCAGCCCGCGGGAAGAGCCAAGCTGTGAATTCCCAACCCAAAATCCAGTGGGAAGAGCCACGCTGGGCCCGGGCCCGTGTCCTCACCCTGCCCGGGGTGTCCCCAAGGGCTGTCACAGCTCCCACGTGGGATGGGGACAAACGTCCAGCCTGCGAGCCCTGGAAAAGGGGCTTTACTCACTGTGGACACGTAGAGGACAAAGAGCGAGGCAGGGCTGATGCTGGTGAAGGAGAGGATGGTGAGGAGGAAGGCTGTGGGTGGGACACAGAAGGACATTCCTTGGTGGGACACTGCCACTGTGAGCCTGCAAGGCTCGCCCGGGGGGTGGGGCCCCCCCCCCCCCCCAGCCTTGCCTGGCGTCCAGCAGAGCAGGAAAACCAGCTGGAAGTAGAGCGAGGCTTTGCTGACGCTGCGGCCGCTCCTGCCCCCGAAGCCGCCGTCCCTGGCCGGGCTCAGCAGCGGCAGCGCCGCGTTCCCCCGGCAGCGGAGCCGCACCCGCCGGTACAGGAGCTGGGGGCGTGCGGGGGTCAGCGGGGCGCTGGGGACCCCCCGTTCCTCCCCCAGAGCCGGGACCTCACCGAGCAGCAGCCGAGCACCAGCAGCAGGTACAGCAGCAAGACGATTTTCTCCTCCAGCCCCGCGTTCTTGTCCCCGCCGGACTGGGAGGCAACGGGGAATGAGCGGGGCCGGGCCAGCGACCCCCGCGGCCCCGGAGCCCCCCGGCCCCGCAGGAGGGTGGGGGGCAGCGAGGGAGGGGCAGCGCCCACCTGGGAGCACATGTCCCGGTTCGGGTGGATCAGGAGGAGGCAGCTGCAGGGACAGAGCGGTGCTGCAGGTCCCGAAGCTCCCCCGGCGTCGCGGGGGCTGCAGCGCTGCCCCGGGCAGGGCGGGGGCGCGGGGGCCGTACCTGGAGCAGTAAAGGCTGAAGGTGTCGTTGGAGCCGGCCCAGGGCACCACGGGCGCGATGTCGGCGGCGGAGGAGCCGCGGGCGAGCAGCTGAGCCAGGAGCGTCAGCGCCGGCAGCAGCCTGGGGAAGGGACGGGAGCGCCGTGAGAGCCCCGGGCCGGGCCGGGAAAGGACGGGAGCGCCGTGAGAGCCCCGGGCCGGGCCGGGAAAGGACGGGAGCGCCGTGAGAGCCCCGGGCCGGGCCAGGGAAGGGACGGGAGAGCGGTGAGAGCCCCGGGCCGGGAAGGGAAGGACGGGAGCGCCGTGAGAGCCCCGGGCCGGGCCAGGGAAGGGACGGGAGCGCCGTGAGAGCCCCGGGTCAGCCCTCGGTTGGGCACCTACCAGGCCAGCACGTAGGGAATTCCCTGCCAGGCGCTCTCCAGGCAGCGGCTCCGCTCCTGCGGGAGAACCGCCGTGAGCCGGGGCTGGGGGGGCGGCCGCAGCCGAGGGTCCCCACCGCTCCGCCACGACCGGGGAGACCCCGAATTCCCGGCAAAGGGGCTGCCCCGGACCGCCGCGCTGCTCCCTTGTCCTGAGAGCGCCGTGCGCGGCCAGGGCGGTTCCCGGCTGTGCCCGGGCGAGGCACGGACCTGCAGCGCTGCCGGGGGCCGGGCTCGCCCCCCGAGGACGGTGCGGTGCGACTCGTACGCGTAAACAACGACCATGAGGAAGGAGACGGCGTAGGAGGTCTGGGAGACAGAGGGAGAGGAGAGGAAAAGGGACCGGGGATCCTGATGGGTCCAGCGCCGCCAGGGCACCTTCCACCTTCCCTTTGCCCCCGGCACCCCCATTGCCCCTGCCCGTTCCCTCCTCGTGCTCCACAGCCCGGCCCCCGGCAGACCTGTCCCGGTGCCCACCCCGAGGAGGGGACCCCAGGTCAGTGTCCCCAGGACTCTCCAGCCGCAGACAGGGCCCAGCTGTCCCCAGCAGAGTCCCCTTACCGTGGTCAGCATCCGCCCGTAGGGACAGGCGGCGTAGGCGGGCGCGGAGAGCGGGGCCGGCAGCAGCGGGATGGTTCCCGTGCCCAGCAGCGCGGTGGCACCCAGGAAATCTGCCAGGGCCAGGAGGAACAGGGGGCGCAGCTGGGGACAGGGCACCGCGTTAGCTCTGCTGGCAGCAGCCCCCGAGAGCTCCCGCGGCCCTTCCCAGGCTGGGCCCGGCAGCTCCCGGGGGCCGGGGCGAGTGCCGGGTGTTGGGCATCCTGCACCTCCTGCCCCCCGCCCGGGGCTTTAAACCCTGTGGTGGCCGGCTCTGGCTCGGGCTTAGCTGGGGCCAGACCCAGCCCTGTGTCCCTGGGAGCCGGTGGCACTCACCGGGATGTGGCAGCAGTGACACTGCCACAAGCTGGTGGCACTCACCTGGATGTGGCAGCAGCGCCCCTGCCAGGAGGTGACAGCGAGGACGGATCCGCTGCCCAGGAGGCTGCAGGGGACGGGGCGGGTGATGAATGTCCCGGCAGAGCCGCTGCCACCCCCAGGTGCCAGCCCAGGGCGGGGGACAGGGACAGGACCCACCTGAGCAGCGCGGCCGGGAGGGTGACACCCGTCAGCACCAGGACCTGCGGGAGGCACGGAGGGAGCGGGGCCACCCCGAGCCCCCACGGGGAGGGGGATGTGAGACCCTGGGCACGGCCGGACTCTGTCCCTCGGCCATTCCTGGCCGAAGCCGTGCCCAGGAACCGCAGCAAAGGCGTTTCGGGGGCAATGGAGGGGCAGCGCCGGCTCCTCAGCCGCCCCTCGGCGGTGGCTGCACGTGGCGGGGTTTCCCTGCTTCTTCCTCCCGAGTTTTCCCGCTGGGATCTCCTCCCAGGTTTCCCTCACCCGGGGCTGGGGAGCGCCGAGAAGCCGCGTCCCGCCCGTGGCCGCGCTGGGAGCGGCTCCCGACGGCGCCTCGGGAGCGGCCGCCGAGGAACCGGAGCGGCCGCCGGAGCCGGGCCCGGGAGTCCGCCGGGAAGAGCGGGGCAGGAGCCAGGGAAGAGCCGCTCCGGCCCCGGGGATAGCCCTGCCCGGCTGCCACCCTCCCTCGCTGGTGGCCGAAGCTCCGGCCCAGATCCCGCGCGGGGGGAGCTCCTCGGCAGGGTTTGTTGGAGTGGGAACGCAGCGCTCAGTGAGCCTCTCCCGGCCCTCCGGAGCGCCCCGCACGCCTTTACCTGGACATCCGAGAGAGCCGGGGGCTGCTCCTGCGCTTTGGCCATGGCCGGAGCCCGGAGCCTTCCCGGCCGCAGCCCGGGATGGATGGAACGGAACGGAATGGAATGGAAGCGGCTCCCGCTGCTGCCCGGGCTCGCCCCACGCCCAGCTGTGGGACACGGCCGCGGCGCAGCCGGAGGAACCTGCCCGGCCGGAGGAACCTTCCCAGAGCAGCAGCGGCGCCGTGCCAGCCCCCGGAGCGGCGAGGGATCAGCCCCAGGCACGGGAGAGCCCAAATGAGCGCTCGGATGCCCCCGGGCACACCGGGAATGAGGGAACAGCGCCGGGAGAGCAGCCGGGAGCTCCTTGTGCTGCCGGAGAGAGCCCAGAGGAGACCCCGGAGCCAACCATCTCAGGATTCTCAGTGCCAGACTCCTCTGCATCCCCTCAGCTGCAGGAATGAACCATTCCCATTCTCACACTCCCAGGAACCTCTGGAAATCACGGGATTTAACAATTTTGTGATCATTTTAAACCCAAGGATGTTCCAATAGCCAGCAAAAATCCCCAAGCAATGCCCATCCCACCCCCAGGAGCCACCAGAATCCCCTCAAACAGGAATTTTACCTTTATTTCAGGGATATTGGCTGAAGGGAGAGAGGGAAGAGGGAGGGAGGAATGTGGGGGAGGGTCTGAGGGAAGGAGGGAACAGGAGGGAGAAGGGTTGGAGGGGACAGGAAGGAATGGCACAGGGAGCTGCAGGAGGGTGACAGTGACACGGAGCTGGGCACTCCTGCAGATGCTCCCTCATCTTCCTCTGCCAGGGACAGACAGAGGGCACCGGGATGGATCTGGGTCCTCCCAGCTGGATCCCACACTGATTCCCTGCTCTCCCAGCTGGATCCCACCTTGTCCCTGCTCTCCCAGCTGGATCCCTCACTGATTCCCTGCTCTCCCAGCTGGATCCCTCACTGATTCCCTGCTCTCCCAGCTGGATCCCTCACCAATTCCCTGCTCTCCCAGCTGGATCCCTCACCAATTCCCTGCTCTCCCAGCTGGATCCCTCACCGATTCCCTGCTCTCCCAGCTGGATCCCACACCGATTCCCTGCTCCAGGCTGTGCTCCCAGCTGGGTCCCACCCCATTCCTCTGCCCAGCTGGGTCCCCACCACCCCCGGGGTCCATTCCAGGTCACTCCATTCTGCAGGAGCAGAGGGAGAACAGGGATCCATCCCCTCAGCCTGAGCAGCGAAGCCACAGGAGGAGGAGGCTCCACCTCCCTCTGGAGTTGTGGGAATGGCTCCAGGGAAAGAGTTGGAGCCATCCCTGCCATTCCAGAGGCACCCCTTGATTCAACACTTCCAAACTGGGAGCAGGGACTGGGCTCTCCCCTGGCTGAGCCAGCACTTTCATCCTTAAGGAGCGTTTCAAACATTCCTGGGACAAACTCTCCCATCAGGGCAGCACCTGGATCCTGCTGTTCCCAGTGGGAACATCCCTGGATGGAGGGAACATCCCCCAGCTGTGGCCCCCTCCCAGCAGGGACAGGCTCTGCCCGGGGCACGTTTTCCCTGAGGATTTTTTTGAGGAGAAATTGGCAGCAAGGACTGCACTGGCCAGAGTGGAATCCAGGGAGTTTGGCTGCTGGCAGGACCAGGACAGGAGGACAGGAGGGAAGTTCCATGTCCCTGTCCTCGTCCCTGGCAGTGCCAGGAGTGGCTGATCCTTCCCAAGGCTCTCTGGGCAGTGCAGCACCAGGAGCTGCTCCCAAACCTGCTCCTGACTGGGCTCCAGAACCCCTGGGGATGTTAATCCAGACCTATCCCTGTCTCTGGGCCTAGCTTTAGCAGCCAGGATTTAATTCCAAAGGTGGGGCAGGAAAACAACACCCTCAGGATGGGAATCATCCACAGGGAGATCCTTTCTCCTTCCTAGAATCCCTGATAGCCCAGAGAGGATCCCTGGGAAAGAAGGAGAGCCTGAGCTCCTGGATGAGCCTGGAGCTGCATCCACTGGTTAAATTAGGCTCTGGAAAAGAGCCTTAGGGGGAAATGCCCAAGATTTCCTGCACTGAGCCCCATCTTCCTGAGCTTTCCGTGGCCTGGTGCTGTTTTAGCTCCACCTAAAGTGCTTCCCACCTTCCCTTTCATCTCCTGAGTCACCAGCCTGGCTGGAGCTTGAAGATCCAAGTGAATTCCACTCGATGCCACGTCTGACAGGTAGGGATTGCTTTTAAATCACCTTTAAAAAACCTCAGCATCTTCCATTCCATGGTTTTCAAATCAAGTCTCAACTCGAAGCAAATTCCCACCACGGAGGCTTTGGGGCTGGAAAAGTTGGCACAACCTCACTGCAAATCAGTGCTAAAAACGCCAACTGGAGCCCAAGCCCTGCAGAGATGCGGGCGTGGCTGGGATGAGGTTTTGGTCAGTCCTCGGGAAGGAGCTCTTACGGAAAAGGGAATAAAATCCACCCCTCATCTCTTCCCGTGGAGCCACCAGGAGCCGTGGGCCGAGCTCTTGGCGATGCTCAGCTTCTCCTCGGGGCTGAAGTGCAGGATGGCCAGGATGGCCGTGAGCGTCTGCTGCCGGCCCCGCGCGTCCGGCAGCGTCAGGAACCGGTACACCACGTTCTTCAGGTACTCCAGGTTGGCTCCCTCCCTGCTCTTGTCCCGGCAGCTCTTCTGGATCTCGCCCCGCAGCGCCGCCACCTCCTCCCGGTGCTTGTCCTCCTCGGCCAGGGCCCTGCCCTGGAGCTGGTGCAGCTGCACCTCCAGCTGGTGCTTGTGCTTGCGCAGCGCCGCGATCTCCACCTCCTTGCGCGCCAGCTGCTCCGCGTACAGGAAGAAGGTGGGCTCGGAGCCGGAGCTCAGCTGCAGCGCCTGCGGCAGGATCTCCGAGGAGTCCTGGCCGGGAGCGTCCCCGGGGCCGCCGTCCCGGCAGCTCTGGGGGCCGTGGGGCAGCGTGAGGGCGCGGAGCTGCTCCAGCTCCCGGTCCTTCTCGGCCAGCACGGCCAGCGCGCGGTCCCGCTGCTTGTGCATCTCCTCCTCCAGCCGCAGCGCCCGCTCCCGGAACTCCAGCTGGCACCGCTCCAGCTCCTGCCGGTGCAGCTGCTGCAGCTGGAACAGCTCCTGCTTCCCGGCCTCCAGCTCCCGCCGGTGCTGCTTCTCCATGTCGTCCGTGGCCAGCTGCAGCAGCACGTGCTTGTCCTGGAGCTCCGCCAGCTGCTCCCGCGCCTCCTCCAGCTCCTTGGCCAGGCCCACGTCCTTGGTGGCCTTGCTCTTGAGCACCTGCTGCGCCCTCACCTTGTAGCGCTCGAACTCCTCCTTGAGCTGCCTCAGCTCCTGCTGGCAGTGCCCCCCCGGGGCCTTGTCCCCGTTCCCGTCCCCGCCGCCCGGGGACGGCTCCGGCTCCCGCTCCGGCTCCCGCGGCTCCTCCGCCTCCGGCCCCGCCGGGCCCTTCCCGGCCGCCGCCTGCAGGAGCTTCCGCAGCTTCTCCATCTTCTCCTTGAGCGCGCTCACGTCCAGGGTGGCCTCCTCCACGGCCACCTCGCCCAGGGAGCGGCTGGAGGCGGCGATGGCCAAGGTCTTGTTCTCCAGGTCCAGCTGCACGATGCGGTCCTTGAGCCTCTGGATGGTGCCCTGGTCCCTCTGCTTGGCCTTCTCGTAGGTGCCCAGCAGCTCGGACACCTGGGACACCTGGGCCTCCAGCTCGGCCACGCGCTGCTCCTCCCGCTGCGAGCGCTGCCGCAGCTGCTCCTCGGCCTGGGCTGTCTGTGCAGGGACACGGCGGGGTTAGGGCAGCACGGGGACACACCTGGGGTCACACGGGGACCCTGTTCTGCTCCAAACCAAAAAGGGGCCCTCCCCACCCTGGGAATCCTGCCTGAGATACCCCCCTGTCCTGGCTTTTAGGGGATTTGTGTGTTTGGAATCCTGAAATGGTTGGGGAGAAAGAACCTCAGAGCCCCTGCAGTGCCACCCTGCCATGGCAGGGACACTCCCACTGTGCCAGGCTGCTCCAGCCCCAGTGTCCAGCCTGGCCTTGGGCACTGCCAGGGATGCAGGGGCAGCCACAGATGCCCTGGGCACCCTGTGCCATTTATTTTGAACCTCCTGGAATCTGAGGGACTGGGAAGGGGAGTTTGTCCTACCCCAGCCCCACTCCCTGGATATATTGCACAGAGCTTTTCCCCAGTTTGTCATCCCATCAATCCAAGCCAGGATGCTTTGGACTCACAGACCAGGAGAGGGAATTTGGCTCCTCTAGCCCCAGTCCCTGGACACCACCCTCACTCCCAGCACTCACCTTCTTCATCTCCTGCACCAGCTGCAGCTGGAAATGGTTCTTGAGGCCGGCCATCTCCTCCTGCAGCTCCTGGACGCGCGGGTCCGCCTTGCCGCTCTCCTCCCGCACGCCCTGCAGCTCCCTGCGCAGCTCCTCCAGCTCCAGGCTGAGCTGCCTCGCGTGCTGCTCGTGGCCCTGGGCCCGCTCTGCGGCGCCGCCGGCCAGCGCCTCGCGGCACTCGTGCAGCTCCCGCTCGGCCGCGTGCCGGGCGTCGCGCTCGGCGCGCAGCAGCTCCTGCAGCTCGCGCAGCATCAGCCCGTGGTCGCCCTGCTCGCGCTCCCGCTCGCGCTGCTGCGCGGCCAGGCGGCCGCGGGTCTGGGCCAGCTGCTCCTGCAGCCGCCCCGCCTCGGCCCGCGCCCGCGCCGCCGCCTCCTCCAGCTCCTGCTTCATCTGCCGCCGCTCCGCCTGGTACGAGGCCTCCATGCGCGACTTCTCCTGCGTCACCGTGGCCAGCGCGCCCGTCAGCGTGCCCAGCTGCGCCTTCAGCTGCTGCAGCCGCCGCTCGGGCTCGCCGCCGGCGCTCAGCTCCCCGCCCTCGGGGCCGCTCGGCTCCTCGGCCCTCTGGGGATGCCCCCCAGCCGCGGGTCTGTCCTCCTCGTCCCCCCTGGCGCCGCTGACGCCGGCCGCGGTGTCCGCGCTGGCGGCCGTCCCCGCGCTGTCCTCGCTGTGCTCCGAGCTCCGCTCGTCCGGGGAGTCGCCGGCTGCGGGCGGGGGCGGCGCCAGGTCCCCGTGGTGGGACACGGAGAGCACCTTCAGGCTGGCCTCCAGCGCCTCCTTCTCCTTCAGCAGGCTCTTGTAGGCGCGGACCACGTCCTTGAGGCGCGCCTGGAAGCGCAGCAGCTGCTGCTTCTGCGTCTCGATGGTCTCCAGCAGCTCCTTCCTGCTGGGGCCGCCCCCGAAGCTCATCCCGAACTTCTCCATGGCTCTGGGGGGAAGCAGGGCAAGGACAAAGGGCACCTTTGGCATGGCCAGGAGCATCGCCCTGCGCCCAGCGGGACACCAAACGGGCAGCGAACGGCACAAACACCACCCTGGCCGTGCCCTGCCCGGGACCGCCATCCTGAACCCCCCCGACCCACACCCTGACCCCCTCGGGACCCCCACGCCGACCCCGCCAGGACAGGACCCCGAACTCCCCTCCAGGACCCCCATGCTGACCCCCTCGGGACCCCCATGCTGACCCCCCGGACCCTCCATTCTCACCTCCTCAGGCCCACCCTGACCCCCACCCTGAGCCCTCAGGACCCCCAGACTCCATCCCGACCCTCAGGGCCACCGTGACCCCCCGGACACCACCCGGGTCCCTCACCGTCACCCCCTCGGGACCATCCCCACTGCCACCCCGATCCCTCCGGCCGCCCCGGGCCCCGCCATCCCCGGCCCCGCCATCCTCACCGCCCCCGGACCGCCCGGGCCCCCTCAGCTCCGGCCGGTTCCGCTGCGCCGCCACTTCCGCCGGAAGCTGCCGGAGGGGCGGGGCAAAGGGACACGTTACGGGCGAGGCGGTGCCACCCCAAATAAGGCGCTGTGTGGGCGTGGCTACGATGCCGGGCGGGGCCGTGTGATCGTGCTGCTCGGGGACGTGGGCGTGGCTTCTGCCACAAGGGGCGTGGTCTCCGCGCGCCACGCGGAGCGCGGCGTGGGCGTGGCCCGTGTCGATGAGGGCGTGGTTTGATGGCTTGGGGGCGTGGCCTGCCCGCGAGAGACAGCGGTGTCCCAATGGGGCGTGGTCACGGATGTAGGCGTGGTCTGTGGCTGGGGCGTGGCCTTCGGCCCGGCACCGCACGGCGGTGACAGCCGGGCAGTCCCCTGTCCCTCCGAGTGTCCCCTGGAGTGCCCCGTGTCCCCCAGAGCCAGGCCCGGGAAGGGGGTTCACCCCAGGCAGGGGAAGGGATGGGTACCGAGCTGCTGGGGCTCATTCCTATGGTTCTGGGATCAGGCATGGTTCTGCGGGAGTCCAAGGTCCACCTCATGGACACGGAGCTCTGCAACAGCAGCCGGTGGTACGCAGGGGCTGTTCATGCTGACAACCTGTGTGCTGGGTACCCGCACGGCGGCATCGACACCTGCCAGGTAGGACAGCCCAGCCTGCCCCGTGTCCACCCCTCACCTGCGGGTCCCTGTCCGATGTCCCCTTGTCCCCAAGGCCTGTTCCTGCCCACAAAGCCCATCCAGCGGCCCCAGCAGACCCAAAGTGTGGATGTGACCCTGGAACATCTGTCCTCTGCACATCTGGGACCCAGTGTGCAGAGATGGGAGAGCCCCCCACCTGTGCTGGGAATGTGCCGGGAATGTGGACCTGGCAGGGATTGGGAGAGAGGAGCCAGCCCCGGGACTGGGGGAGAGCAGCCAGACCCAGGGCCGGGACAGAGCAGCCAGCCCCGGGGCTGGCAGCAGCCCCCACAGTCCCTGAGCCATCTCTCCTGGCACAGGGGGACAGCGGGAATCCCCTCGTCTGCAAGGACAACAGAGTGGACTACTTTTGGCTGGTGGGATTGAACAGCTGGGGAAGAGGCTGTGACAGAGCCAGGCACCCCGGGATCTACACCTCCACCCAGCACTTCTACAACTGGATCCTGATCCAGACGGGCCTGAGCCCAGCAGACGTAAGCGGTCCAGCACCGGAGCTGAACTGCGCCCCGACTCCTAAGCCAGAGGTCACCACGACCTCTGCGGAGACCCCGATGCCAAGGCCAGAACAAGAGGCAGAAACAAAGCCAACACCAGTGCCAGAGCCAACACCAGAGCTGGTGCCAGAGCCGGAGCCGACTCCAGAGCCGACGCCAGAGCCGGTAACAGAGCCGACACCAGAGCCGACGACAGAGCCACAGCCAACCCCAGAGCCAGAGCTGGTGCCAGACCCGACACCACTGCCAGTGCCAGAGCCGACAACAGAGCCAACGCCAGAGCCAGTGCCAGAGCCAACAACAGAGCCAACGCCAGAGCCAACGCCAGAGCCGACGACAGAACCGACGCCAGAGCCGACGACAGAGCCAATGCCAGTGCCGATTCCAGAGCCAACGCCAGTGCCAAAGCCAATGCCAGTGCCGATGCCAGAGCCAACGCCAGTGCCAATGCCAGCGCCAACACCACTGCCAAAGCTGATGCCAAAGCCAGAGCAGGAGCCAGAGTTGGTGCCCGAACCGGAGCCAGAGCTGGTGCCAGAGCCGGAGCCAGAGCTGGTGCCAGACCTGTGCTGGGAATGTGCCGGGAATGTGGACCTGGCAGGGATTGGGAGAGAGGAGCCAGCCCCGGGACTGGGGGAGAGCAGCCAGACCCAGGGCCGGGACAGAGCAGCCAGCCCCGGGGCTGGCAGCAGCCCCCACAGTCCCTGAGCCATCTCTCCTGGCACAGGGGGACAGCGGGGGTCCCCTCGTCTGCAAGGACAATGATGCTGACTACTACTGGCTGGTGGGATTGAACAGCTGGGGAAGAGGCTGTGACAGAGCCAGGCACCCCGGGATCTACACCTCCACCCAGCACTTCTACAACTGGATCCTGATCCAGACGGGCCTGAGCCCAGCAGACGTAAGCGGTCCAGCACCGGAGCTGAACTGCGCCCCGACTCCTAAGCCAGAGGTCACCACGACCTCTGCGGAGACCCCGATGCCAAGGCCAGAACAAGAGGCAGAAACAAAGCCAACACCAGTGCCAGAGCCAACACCAGAGCTGGTGCCAGAGCCGGAGCCGACTCCAGAGCCGACGCCAGAGCCGGTAACAGAGCCGACACCAGAGCCGACGACAGAGCCACAGCCAACCCCAGAGCCAGAGCTGGTGCCAGACCCGACACCACTGCCAGTGCCAGAGCCGACAACAGAGCCAACGCCAGAGCCAGTGCCAGAGCCAACAACAGAGCCAACGCCAGAGCCAACGCCAGAGCCGACGACAGAGCCAACGCCAGAGCCGACGACAGAACCGACGCCAGAGCCGACGACAGAGCCAATGCCAGTGCCGATTCCAGAGCCAACGCCAGTGCCAAAGCCAATGCCAGTGCCGATGCCAGAGCCAACGCCAGTGCCAATGCCAGCGCCAACACCACTGCCAAAGCTGATGCCAAAGCCAGAGCAGGAGCCAGAGTTGGTGCCCGAACCGGAGCCAGAGCTGGTGCCAGAGCCGGAGCCAGAGCTGGTGCCAGAGCCGGAGCCAGAGCTGGTGCCAGAGCCAGCACCCAAGCCATCCATCCCCCCAGTGCCCAAGGAGCCGGTGACAACACCGGCACCGCAACCGGCAACGCAACCGACACCACAACCTACTCCGCAACCGGCACCGCAACCGGCAACGCAACCAACACCGCAACCGGCACCGCAACCGGCACCGGCACCGGACAGGCTTCTGCTGATCTCGGTGCCGTACCAGAGCCTGGTGCAGTTCTGCAGCCTGCTCAGGAACTTCCTGCAGTTCCTGAAGCAGCAGCTGGGCTGACGGCGCCGGGCCGGACGCGGTTCTGGCTGCAGAACGCGGCCCCGGCCCGCTCCGTTCCGGCCCGGTGCCGCCGCGGGGCCCGGGCCGGCCGCAGCCCCGGGGCCGCTCGGTGCCGCCGCCCCTCCCCTGCCGCCCCCCGTGCCGCGGTCCCGTTCGCTGTTGAAATAACGCTGTTCGTGCTCCCCAGCACCGCGGTCTCTGCGCATTCCGCCGCCGGGCAGGGCGGGAGGGGCCGGGGCCGGGCGGGAGAACGAGCGGGGCTGGCCCGCTGCGGAGGAGACGCGGAGGAGCCGGGCGGAGCGGGAAAAGCGCTTTAATAACGGAGCGGGCCGGGAACGGCAGGGCCCGGAGCCCCGGGGGACGCGGAGCTGCGGGAGGTGCCGCCCCGAGCTGCTGCGGCCACCCAGGGCTGTCCCTCTGTCACCAGCTCCTGCCTCTGAGGTGCCGGGACCCCCGGTGCCATCCCCGCTGTGCCCTCAGTCCCCGCTGGGATCCCTGGAGCCGGGACATTCCCTCTGCTCCAGCGGGATCGCGGCTCCACAGAGCTGTGCTGGCCCTGGGGAAGGTGCTGGAGCGTGGTGACCCTCCCGGAACGGGACAGGGATGCTGGATTCCGCGACCCACCAGTGTCTGGAGGTGGTCTGGGGACCTGCCGCGGGCTGGCCCGGCCATGCTGGCCCGGCTGCCACCGAAGCCCGCCCTGCAAGGATGTCCTCAGCTCCCGCCTCGGGGGTGTCGGAGCCCCCATCCTGCCAGGGCCCCTCAGGGCCGGGACACCGCGGGCCGTGGGGGCGGGTGGGGGCTCGGGGGGGCGGGTGCGGGTCGGTGGCACCGGGGGCTCAGAGGGGCTCCAGGCCCCAGGCTGGCAGCGGGGTGAGCCCGGGGGGCAGCAGGGCGAAGGGGGAGCTCTCCAGGGGCTGCCAAGGCGCTGGGGCGGGGGTCCCGCCGGGAGGCAGACCTGCGGGATGGACACGGGGCTCAGGCATCGCCCTGGGAGGGGACACCCAGGGAACCCCCAGCCCCCGAAGCTCCCGCGCTGCCCGTGGCCGAGGCCGGCCGCTCGTACCGTAGCAAGCGTCGTCCCAGGCGCAGGGCCCGGAGGCGCAGAGGTGCAGCGGGGCCGGGGGGCGCGGGTGGGCGGCGAGGCCGTGGAGGGGCTGCGCCGAGCCCGCGGGGGAGTCCGGGAGGGGCTGCTGCGGACCAGAGAGCGCCGTGTCCCTGGGCTGCGCCGGGACTGGGTCACCCCGAGGGGACGGGCAGGGGGCCGGCACGCCGCAGACACGGCTCCCCGCGGCAGCGCGGGCTCCAGAGCGTGCCCCAGCTTGTTGGGGTGTCCCCAGCACCCCGGGACCGGCCATGTCCTACCCGTGCGGCGGCTGCGGCGGCGGGACCGGCAGCGGGCGGGATCCAGTCGCTCCAGGAGCCTGCGTGGGCACGGGCGGGGACAATGTCCTGGCTCGGGCCCCGGCTCACCGGGGCGCACCGGGAGCGCCGTGGCCTTTCCCCAGCTCCCGACGGGGCTCTGGGCAGCAACCCCCGGGGTCCCAGCGCCAAATGTCAGCCGCGCTCCCTCCCAGGGCCGCACCCCCTCCTCGGGGGCAGGTCCCACGTCCCGTCCCCTCGGTGCCCGGGCTGTCACCTGCGTCGCCAGCCTCCAGCTGC